TTTTTTTTTTTTTTTTTCTTATTATGCGTCCTGCCACGAGGGGTAAAAACATCGGAGTGGGGGCGTATGGACAGGTGAAGATTCCGTTCTTAACATTTTTGCGTAAACACAGGAGAATCACCATGAACGGCATATCCGCTTAACCGCTAAGACGATTACCACCATGAGCAGACGGAGTGGGGAAGTGGGTACAAATATAGGGATTTAAAAAATGTTCCATGAAAGCATACGTACACAATATATGCCCTGACATTTAATCCGTCCTGGGGGGGGGACAGGAAAAAAATAAAAAGAAAAGAAAAAATATGCTCACCGCTGCTATGCGTACTTGACCATAATACGCACGCCAGTCATAAGCCCATTCTGAAAAATATGTACACTCGTACAATTTATGGTAATTATATTACAACCCCGAGCGTTGGACCTGCGACATGTAAGAAAGGACGGAAAGGTAAATATTAATTCGGCCTCCCTTAACTTCATGAACAAACAAATTAATGGACTGATCCCCTCTTAAGGCGAGGAACGTGACAGACAATACCTCCTTTTAAGCGTTCTTATTTAACAAGGGAAGGGAAGCATAATTTTATTTCATCAGTCCTCCGTGTGCATACGCGCATATATGTACGTATACATAATGCTTCAATTTTGCGGAGCCAGGGTCTTTTTGCTTTTAATTTAACCAAAAGGGTAAAGCAGAGAGGGGGGCACAAAAAAAAAAATAAAAAAAGGCGAAATGGATATAAAAGTAGCGAAAAATAAGAAAACGAGCGAAAACATAAAATACAACCAAAAAAATGAAAAAGAAAGAATACATGAATTCCCTTCTTCTATTTAATATAATTACATTGTTTCACGAAAAAAAATCTGCTGACAAATTAAAAATAAAGGAATGCCAGGTTGTCAATATGTTTTTTTTTGTTTTTTTTTTATTAGGAAAGTAAAATACATTTTATTTTTTTACGTATATTCCCCCGACCGAAAAAAAAAAAAAAAAAAAAAAAAAAGGAAAAATTCATTTGTGACGAATTTTTCAGTACGTATTAACTTACGTTTCAGAATATCGCAGTTAAAAATTATACATGAATTACCAATTTTAAACTGCTATATTTAAAAAAACATGTGAATCTTCAGAATTATGTTACTTTGCCATTCAAGGCTGCCCGCGCGAACTTTTCATCTTTGCTATTTTTTTCTGATCAAATCAGCACATATATATAACCATTCATATGAACTCTTTCGCGGGTACATATTTTATTTAGAAGTTTCAATGTAACCTTAACTTTAAGTATTCCTTTTTTTTTTTTTTTTTTGTATCATGTTTGGAAATATATCTCCTTTGATTGTTTGAATCCTCAGAAAAAAAAAAACCTCCAAAAAGTAAAACGATCCCCGAACATTTCTTTCTATGCATTCAGCGAGTTAGATTTTTGCAGGTAAGCTTAAAGGCGCATCATCGTCCTTTGAGGGCGTGGAAGTGCGTACAGAGCGTTTGCCATCGCGTTTATCATCGAGGATGCCGCATCATGAATTCAAACGTAATACGCCAGTTGTGAGGCGCGATATGCGAATTTGGGGCAACCTAGAATATTGCCCGAACGTGCATAATATATACCCCCCTTGCGCATGTCCTTTTTTCCAAACCCTGTTTGCGTACCCCTCGCATGCTGCATTGTCCATTGTCGCCGTATGCCCAACTCATTGAGAGCAACGAACCTGCGGCACCGTTTCAGTGAAATGAATAAAGGATCGTGTCGATGGTCTGAGTTCGCGCGGACACAGACCAATCGCCTGATCCCATCTCCAATGGTTACGTATGGATGTACGCGTGGGTTTTGTGCCAAGTGCTATATGTATCACATTTGTGCATGACATTGTATACCTCGAACGCCTTTGCTAATACCCCTGTCTTCTAGGTGTTAGTATACGAGCATACGTACCCACCGAACTGTACCTTTTCTGTATGTATGTCGCGCGTGCGTGGATAAGACCCGCCGCCCTACGTGACGTTCACAAGGTGGCACGCTTGATCGATCGCTTGCATTTTTTTTCAACATGAGTTTTCAACGCATTGAACGTTTGGCCTGTATATGTATACATATATTCTTTTTTTTTTTTTTCACCCTGCGCAAGTATATTGTCGTAACCATGTACATTGGAAGTGCGTTCTGATTAAACACCCTCCGCTGCCCCATGCGCTCACATGTGCCATTTCTCCATTTCTACGTAACAAAAATGTATCCCCCAATTTTATGCACCCAAAGTTAAACGTTATAGTAGCCTGTATGACTACGTGGGGTACTATATATCACCCATGAGCTTTCCCCATGCCTGTTGCTTCATGATAAATGAAATTGATGTTTGTATAGTTGCATTTTTCTTCATCCTCCCCCCCCGTGCGTATAAAATTGTATGTTTCCGCATCCCGATGATAGGGCAGTGGACACTGAGTTATTATAAATTTTTTTTATTATTTTGTTATCTTTCACTTTACATTCCCTCCACCTCCTCACTGCAGATATAACACGATCGTGTTTTAAGACAGCTACACTGATTAGGGTGCGTACAGAGGAATTAGTTAACGCATAAATTAGAAGCAGCAAGAAGCGAGCCCCGTCTACGTGTGTGTGACGTCCACGCCTAATCTCACTTCCTAGTCCTATCTTTTTTAGTTTTTTTTTTTTTTCCATTCCTTCTTCAAATATACACCTTGAGCAAAATGGGGCTACACTTGTTTCCCAAGAACATGATGCACTTGATAAATTTAATAGTGTCAATAATATGCCCTGCAATCAAAACGTACAATTTATTACTAAATAAAAAGGACAAGCCAAATGACGAGTTCGTTCAATACATCCATTTCCTCACCTACTGGATTATGTACTCTCTGTACTCATACCTAGAAGCCTTTTTGTTAGTGCACGTAATGAATTATGTTCCATTTTATTCAGAATTAAAATTGGCCTTTTTTTTCTGGTTATATAGTGACACCTTCCAGGGCGCAGGCTATATTTATTTTAAATGGATCGACAAGCATTATGCTACTGTGGATAAAAAATTATGTGACTTACTGCATGATAAAATACCCAAGAATTTAGCCAATATGTTTTACTTTGAAAAATCCAACAAAAAAATACATAACAAAATTAAGAGCATTGTCTCCAAGAAGGATTTGTATTGAGCACTTAATATTGAAGGAGAGGTAGGTGTGTAGAAGCCTTGTTGTGCGGGACTGCCACGTAGAAGACGAAAAAAAAAAAAAAAAAAAAAAAAAAATGGAGGGACAAAACGGAAGAAGCTGCAAATGGTGGTGGGCTAGTGAAAATTGTACATGTGAGAAGCAGTTACTCGTTTGGGCAAGTGTGATTATCAGCTGAAGGATAAAAACTCAAATCGAGTTATTAGACAAGACTTTTCCCCTTTGTAACGAATCCCACATAATATTCTCAAGTTAAATCCGTGAATAGCGCAGTTTAGCTGTTATGTAGATGTATGTGACATATCTGACGATTGTTCTTTTTACATCCACTGCCACAGCACAAAGGAACGTGTCCACATGGTCCTATGCTCAAGCGAAACAGAACAAACCTTAGCCCAGTTCAGTAAAAACATAACGCTTTCATATCGATTTATGAGGAGAAAAGGGCCTGCAATATTAGGAAGATTGAATATATACACAATATATGTATATGTGCCCGATTAGGATTTTTCATTTCTCATTTTTATGAGTTTAACATATGTAACTTCTTTTTTTTTTTTTTTTTTTTTTTTTATTTTCCCATTTATACATCACACATTTTATATAGCTGCCTTTTTTTTTTTTTTTTCACCCATTTATAACCATTTAAAATCAAAATATTAGTTATGCAAAAAAAAAAAAAAAAAAAAAAATGACCAAGGATTATGTGAACAATTTTATATGTATATGTGTCCACGGAATTTGACATATTGTATATACGTGTCTACATGTGTACGTTTGCATGTGTGTGCAGCCTCCACGCGTGCACATATGCGAATGACCATTTTAACAGCTAAGAAATGCACAAACCTTTTTGCGCTGCATATGTATGCTTATATGTACGTACGCACAGGTGTGTAGATATACAGATATATGCATGCTCATGATATAATTATATTTGTTCTAAATTTTCGTATTGTTGCAATAATGTGTCATTCTTGTTTTTTTAATTCATTCATAATATGAAGAACTTCACTGTTTTTAATTTTTTTTTTTTTTCAAAACAATTACCCTAAATATATTTGTGCAAATATATAGAAGATTTTTTCTTCGTTTTCTTCCTTTGAAAAAGAGAACACTTTTCGATAAGGAGAAAGTCCCGGAGTAGCATTACAATGACAAAGTTTAAGGCAAAGTTAATTCGAAGATAAAAAAAAAAAAACAAAATAAAAAATATGCCAAGCTGTGCAACGTATTATCTACGTAATTCATATGACCACACATTTTAATACACTTAAATGGCATTTGAATTTTCCCCCCTTTCAGTCAGTTTTGAAAAAAAAAAAAAAAAAAAAAAAAAGCCTCCTCCGGGTATACATTGCCAGCAATGTAACTGCGGAGGGGTCCACAGAAAAGACAAACATTTGGCTGGACCATTTTTCGAATCGCGTCGGTGAGCCGTCCCACTGCGTCGCGCTCGCATATGTATCTGTACACACATGCGTATGTATATACATATATATATGTGTATATATGCGAACGCGTTTTAGCGCGTCATGATGTTCGCAGTTACTCGAACTCTGCGCCCTTCAGACGTGCACGACGTACATCCACATGACACATTAGTGGGCGAACCAGCAGGGTGCTATCCGGTATGAGACGCGGCAATGGCTGCTACAATCGCTTCAGCAATCGCTGCGGGATTTCCTAATTCAAGTAGACCTCATCAGTGTAGGCGGCGACGGGCGGCACATAGGGGTAGTAATAGTAACCATAGTTCCGACCGCTTAAATTGTACATCATCTGCTCGTTAGCCAGCTGGTTCATGTGGTAGTGGTTGTTCATATACAGATCCATGTCATTTGGGGGCGGCTTCACAAACCTCTTCTCGCAATTTGCACTCTCTGTATTGTTTGCGTGTAATATGTAGCTGTACACGGAAGAGGGATTCACCTGACCATTATATTGAAGCTGTGCATTTTTAGGGTATTTGATAACATTAGGCCCATTCCCACAATTTCCACTGCTACCATACATCGCGCTGTCGATGTGTTTGTTGCTTCCCTTTGTGTTTTCCCCAACGGTGTTCTCATTCTCTACGCACACGTCTCTACTGCAGCTCTTGTTTGCACTGTTTAGCGAAAGCAATTTTGATAATTTTTTTTTCTTCTGCTTGGTGTTTCCCTTTGCCTGCTTCATTCGTTCTTCTGTGACATTCCCACTTGGACATTTGTTCCATGCGTTTGTTCCCACCAAGGAGTTGTTACTTTTTTTACTACAATCATTTCGTAAGCGCGTGTTCATATGTACCTGTTGTTGCTCCCTTTTTGCTTTCAATTCTGTAACGCTACACTTCTGTGTGTGTCCCTTATGTTTATTTATTTTCCCGAGCTTGCTTTCGTCTGGTTGTGTATTTTCTCCATCGGTAGTCCCTTCCTGCTGTCCGTTTAGCGGATCTGCTTCATCTGAAGCTTCTTCCTCGCCGCCGCTGCTTACCTCGTGTTTGGCATTCTGCCTATCATTTAGGGACTCCTCATCGTTTGGCACGTCCTCCGATGGGGTTAGCTCCTCCGATGAGGTCACCTCCTCTGGGTCGTTCTGCTCCCCCTGCATCTTCGCTATTACATGGTTGTCATCACCGCCGCTAAATCCGACTAGTTCTCCCGTACCATTAACATTGCCCTTCGCCTGATCTGCTCCGTAGCTGAAATTTTCCCGAGCCCCGTTATCGCCACCCTTCATTTTATTCATCATAGCACACTGCCCATAACTATATGGATTTGCGTAAAAATATAAACAATTGCCATAATAATTTGGTGTCATATGGGGCACATTATTTTGATGATCGTACATAAAAAATTCATTCGGCTTGGCAAAAGGTGGGTAAGGACTAGACATGGCACCAGCATCATATTTGCATGCATTATTATTTGCTTGGTTATAATTAAAATAGGGGTTATATGCATTGTACTTCATTTGCATCATTTTGTTATAAACTACCGGGTTTACATAATTGTTATAGTCGTAGTTGTAGTTCATATAATTTGCTTCAGTCGTTTGGCCATTCATTATGTGCTGATTGTTGGTCTGGAGTTCTGCGCTGCCACTGGTGATGTCGCAATTGAGGTGATTTTTCTGTACAAGGGGACTCTTGGGGTCATTTTTCTGCACAGGGTGACTCTTGGGGTCATTTTTCCTTTTAACTTTGCTTTTGTTATCGCTCGGTTGAATAAGTGTTTCCGTGCTGGTTTGTCCGCCGCGCTCAGCGTCACCCTCTGCTTTTCCGCCTGCACCTTCGACACTACCCTCCACTGCGCTTCTGGCTTCGCTTCTGGCCGCATTTTCAATATCACCCCCGTCTGCGTCCTTCTCCTCCTGCCCGCCTGAACCGCCCCCGATACTCTCCTCCGTTTTCACATAGCACTCATTCATATCAACCTTCTCAAACGTGTTACTCACACAGGCCTCAGTATTCATTTGGTCATTCTTTCCCTCCTCTGCGCAGTTCAAACTTGACGATATGGTTGTGTTGCTGTCGTAAAATTTGTCTCTCTCCTCGGCGTACTTTTTTTTATTGCAAGACGAACCAAAGCTATTAATCACTGCTTTATTATTGTTAGTACTGTCCTGTTCGTAATTCTTTACATAATTTGAATTCTTCAGTTTTAATTTTAACTGCTTTTCTTTATTCCTATTTCTGTTTCTATCGCGTCTTTTCCTTTCCTCTCTGTGATAATTTGCTCCGTTATTTCTGTTCTGGCCTAAGCCGCCATTCGTGTTATTATACCTGTGTTCATTCTGCGTTATCTGCATCGAGTTGAAATTGCTCAGCATCAAGTCGAAGCTTTGGGTGAAATTTTTGTTGCCATTCTGGTGGCTATTCCTGTTTCCATTCTTGTTACCATTTCTGCCACCATTTTTGTGGAAGCTCCTGGCCATGTTCTTTGACAAACTATTTTCCAAGCTGTTAGGGAAGTTATTTTCCATGCCACCACACCCCGCATTGTCTTTCCCTGTGTAGTTCATATCACCGCTGCCTTCACATATAATATTGCCTCCATTTTCGAACAGCAAGAGGTTGCTTTCTCCGTCCACTCCTTCTGATCTTTCCGCATTTGTTTTTTCTAGCAAAATTTCTGGTATTCTTGGCACCCTCAATTCATCAATGCTGTGAGCAAAACGACACGTGGATCCGTTGAGACAAGTCTTATTGGCAACAAATTTACACATAGAAGATTTGTACGCAAATAAATTCTGCGCAGATTTTAGTTCCTCCTGGTTATGGGCATAATTACATTTTTTATTAAAACATTTTTCTCCTTTTAGCAGTTTGTAACATAACTTGGTTCTTTTCAAATCTGGAATTGATCGCAAATCTTCAATCGAATGGGCATAGTCACAGTTACTTCCTTCCTTACACCTGTTTTCCATATGAAGGGGGCACAGCTTCGTCTTCCAAAAATGTTGACGGAGGGTTACTGACATCTTCATTTTTTTTAATTTGGCAGAGAGGTTTTTAATTTGAGAAGGCTTACCGCGAGATGGACAAGCCAAAAAAAAAAAAAAAAAAAAAAAAAAAAAAAAATTGAGCCAATTTAACTAATTGGCTAAACATGTCAGCCAAAAAAATACAAATTAATCGCCTGAACAGGTCAGCCAAAAAAAATGCAAACTAGTCACCCGAACTGGTCAGGCAAAAAATGCAAACTAGTCACCCGAATAGGTGAGGCAAAAAAGAGGAAAACAATTATCCAAACAAGACAAACAAAGAAACATGCTAATTAGCCGGACAAGACAGATAAAATGGACGAACTAATTAGCTCATCAAGACAGAAAAAAAAATCGATCTATTAACGATAAATGACAAGGGAAAATGAAATTACAATGAAATGACGCGAAATGCACAAATGGCTCTCATCATAATTAATAAAAAAAGGTATACTGGCTACATTTTCCAACAAATTACGTTTTTAATAATATGCTATCAAAACATGTAGATTGTTTCTAAATGTCCTCATATAAATTTTAATATACATATGAATTTTTTTTTAAGAACAATTTTGAGCAATTTGCTAGGTCACATAATTTCTGCTAACTGACGGGGAATGCCACTGACGAGTAAGTGTATACGTTTGGGTAAATGAATAAGCATGTAAACATTATTTTTGTAATTTTTTTAAAAATTTTCAAGTGAGTAAATTAACTGTGGATGAAAAAATAAAGTGGAAAATCGAAGAACAAGTAGGAAAATGCGAATATATGGAAACATGCAAATGTATAAATATGTACATATACCTTACATATTATGTGTGTACGTTTGTATGTATACTCTTAAGCGTATCAAATGATTTCTTAAGACTTTTCCCTTTTTTTTTTTTTTTTTTTTTTTTACATTTTTGCGAGGACAAGCATGTAGTGAATATATCTGCATACACACATGCACACACGTTAAAAAAAAAAAAAAAAACATATGTATATTGCCTATATTTAATTATTACCTTGATTGTTCGTTTTTTTTTTTTTTTTTTTTTTTTTCCATCGCGTATGCATACGCAACCAAGAACATGCAAAGCTTATGCGACAAATGTACACGTACCAAAATGGATGATTCGACAAAAAGGATGGATATAAAATCTATGTATACCGTTACACCCTGATTAGGCATTTTGGACGCAAAATTGTGACGGCTTTGTAGAGCGTATAAAAACATGAAAGTTGCGTACGTTTCCGAGTTTGCAAAAATGGGCAAAAGGGTTAAACGACAACATAGTGCAACTCACGTTCTTCAACAAACTGCCCATATGCATATGAATATATATATAACATACACAAAGACGATGAAGAAAAAAATCGGCAACCAGTAACCTCTATACGGCTGAACCAAAATCGAACTTCTACAACACGATCTTGTTATGTACACCGGTGTCTCTGTTGCTGTACCCAATAAGGCGCTATTACCGGTGTCATGCGTGTCGCACATATATATGTGTGTATATATGTGCATGTGCATGCGCATTGCCTATCTGCGTGCACTTCGAAAGTTTAACTGGCTTAGCGATCCATCATGCAACTCGCTTATGCACAACCAAAACAACGTAGGGTTTTTCTCCCCCGCGTGATACATGTCCATCCGGATATTATGTTACAATGTACAGAATTGCAAAAGTTGTGGGGCAGCCTTTTTTGCGACCCCAAAAAAAAAAAATACTTATCCTCCTTAGCTTTGCTGTTGTTAATATAGTTGTTCAAAAAGGGGCATAATAATTAAGCACGTAGGCGTGTGTACATAGGCGTACATGTTAACGTGGTAATATGCACATCAAACGTAACTAATGGCGGGGGCCAAAACGAATTTATACGCCCCCAAATGAAATCACAGGGTGTTCCTAGGGACCAATTAGCTCGCTTGTATGGAGTTTGCATACATGAATAATGGACAAATAAATTTTTCCTGGGGGAAAAACAAAAACTGCATGAAAAATCAAAATTAAACATGTTTCCAGATTAACAAATATGCGAATTCTTAGGTTCACAAATGTGGGGAAAACAAATGATTGCAATTTTTTTACAAACTCTTTCATCTGTTCTGACTTTAAAAGAGACCACAATGCGTTACTTGTAATGTCTTTTTTTTTTTTTCTCTTGCCCCTTTCAGTAATGTTCCGTCTTCATGGATGTGAGGCCTAGCATGTCATTTTGCTCAAACGTTCTTTCATATTCCTCTTCTTTTAAATTTTCATCGTTCGCAATGTCATCACTTGATATGTAACTGTTGGATGCAATATCGTCAATGACAAGATCGAAGGGGCACAATTCCTCCGTTTTGCACAACTTGTACAGGTTCGCAATTAGGCTTTTTATTTTAATTGTGATCGATTCCTCATTGTTTATTTGGTTTCTCTGAATTGCATTATCGTTTGTTTGCTCCCCCACCTCATCGTTTCCGTGTGTATTGGTGCTAGAATCCCCAAGTAGAAATTTAAATTTATCCTCCAGCGACTCGATTATTTTCAAAATGAGCCCCTCGATGGTGGTAAGAGAACCACCCAAGGTTCCGTAATCCGACGTAAGATCAACAATGGGGATGTGAATAGATGCCGTTTCTGATTTGATTACAAACCTATTTAAGTCGCTTTTACTTTTTACAGTGAGGGTAATTTTTTTCCCTTTAGGATTGATCTCGCCGCTGCTCTTAATTTCGCTCGTTTTGAAGTTGCAGTTCGCACACACATAAGACATAATTAGGCACTTTTTAAAACCTGGTATATTAATTTCGCAAAAGTTGTTGGAGCCCATGTAATTGCAACAGGGGCAATTGGACGTGAATGACTCTATTAACTTCCCCGCTTCCTCTTGGCTTATGTTTTCGTACCGCACGGCGGCGCCACTGTTCACACTGCTACACGCAGCGTCATTCATATGCACATACTTTTTAATAAAATCGAAATTTTCCTTCTTAACCTTTTCTACTACATGTTCCTCCTTTTCTTTGCCGTCATTTTTACCCTCAAAATCTTCCTCATAAAATCCCATTTCGTTTAATTCCTGTTTGCTTCGTTTGTAATGCTCCACCGTGACGATACCTTTTTGCAGATCTTCATCGTAGTGCTCCAGGGAGCTGAGCCCTGATGGGTCCACAACCTCGATGGTAAACATGGGATCCTTCGACACCATATAGGTTGACAATTTATGAACTGTGGACTCGATTAGCTTTATGTAACTTTCTATGGTCATTTGTTGACCCTGCAGATTTGTATCGGTGGGTTTATCCCCTTGGTTGGTTTGGTCTATTGCACGTGCCTCTTCCCCATGAGCATCTTCTGCACGTTCAAGCTTACCGCTAACTTGCCCTTCTACATTGTGTGCATCTGTGCCATGTTCCTCATTGAGGGTTTTGCCTGACTGCGATTGCACCCCCTCGATGGCTGACCCTTCTGGGAGCCCATTGGCCTCCCAGTACATGTGCTTCAAATTTCCGAGGTACTCGTTGAGGTTACTCAAAGCAGTTTGCAGAAAACCCTCAATGGTATTGATGGACCCCTTTTGCGTATCCTTCGGAATCTCAAAGTCAATTTCAGGAATCTTCATCACTCCATACTCAGACTTAATCAGTTGTCTATCCATATGCTCACGTTGGCTAATTTTAAAAATTATTTTTACTCCTTTCTCCTTTATCGTGTTTAAATCTTGTATAACATTATTTCTGTAGTTGCAGAATCCGCACTCAAATGAATGTATCAGTACATTTTTGAAGTACGGGATGTTTAACTTTGCTATTTGGTTTACTCCTTCTTTCTCACAATTGATGCACATGGATCGAACCTGAATGGTTTCATCCATTGGACTTATATCAGCCTCTTCCTTGTTCAGAGGCGCTGTCTGGTTATTCCTGCTCGCTTCCATTGGTGCGTGGCGGTGGGAAAAGGCAGGCAGGGGTTGCAATGGTGGACGGTGACCTCAGCTTGCGAACTGGCGCAAGGTAGCAACCTCACGGGGGGCAGAGTTTTTCTTCCCCAAAAAAGTCACTAAAAAAGGGGCTTCAATGCATGCGCGTATCCATGCAACCCTCAAGCGCCACAAAAATGATACCCTATTTCGGCATTAGCTCTTGCGCCTATATCTGTGCGTGAGTGATTCTTCCAAGCAGGGCACCAAATCAAGGCCGCATCGCAACCGTGCAACCAACAAGCGGGAAGCCCTAAGCAGCAATGCGAACGCTTCTTAACGCTTTAATAATCGACTGGAAAAATTGCCAATAAACTGGCATCATTTGTTTTAAATTAGGAAAAATTTTTTAAAACGCAAACAATGAAAAAAAAAAAAAAAAAAAAAGGAAAGTGATAACGGGGTAAGCGCTATGGGCCATATGGAAAAAAGCCCCATGTGGTCGTAGCTAAGTTTGCGAGAATTATGCATCCGACCTTCTTCTCACCACAAGGGGGAAAAAACAAAAAAAGGCACGCAGGGCCGGGAACAGCACAGTTGAAAGAGAACAGCAGATAAAGGAAAACTTAAAAAATTTCGAAAAATTAAAAATGATAAAAGTGTATTATATTTTTATATGTTGCTTTGCACTGCGTACCTTTTTTTGCTGGCCGCCCTACATGCAACAATCTTTTCTTCCCTGCAGGGGAGCATTTCCACATCGTTGCGCGTTGCAATTACGTATAAACTTGTGCGAAGCTTATCTACTCTGCGATGTACACCGAACACGTGTCGAACCTCTTAACAGAAGCATTCCTCCGTGCCAAACACAACGCGACATCCGCTAATCAGCTAAATGCTGTGCGCTTCAAAGTGGTGGTAATTCGTCTGCTGCAACAACGGCGTGTCGTCACTTTGCTGGTAGTAAAAGTAAAATTTGATCGCAACAGCCGCGACGATGAAGATCACTGCGTAGAACAAAATGTAGTTCACGAAAATATACGACAGAATGGTGACCAGCATGTAGAGGAGAATGGCCCCCAACACCCATTTCTGCAAAAAGGAAAAAAAAAAAAAAAAAAAAAAATTTATTCATTCATGTTAAGACAAACTTTTGTACATATTTGCGGATGCCACAGTTCCTCACTCATATGCGCTTCTTCCACTCCGCGCTACTCTCACCTACGCCTTACTATAATTTGCTGCTTGTTAATTTTCATTTCATTCGGCAAGAGCTCCTCGTAGTCACCCTTGTTTTGCATATTGTCACTCATGTACAGTAAATTATATATGGTGGAACCTCTGTACCGGAAAAAAAAAAAAGAAAAAAAGAGACACGAGTTGAGATACGTTAAGATGCCATTCTTGCTGCTTTTTTTTTTTTTTTTCAAAAGAAAAGTATGTCAAATTGGGTAGTGATGCGTGTGTGGACTGTTACCCATGAGACAAATTTGGGGGTGCAGAGGAAAAAAATAATGTCCATCCCCGCCATTTTTTTCTCATGGGTAACATTCCACACACATATCAAAATGGAAAAATGCAGATGGAGTGAAATAACCAATGGAAGGAGCAATTCAGGGATGGGGATAGCAACAGGTTTACACGACACAACAGACGTGTTATACACGCATAAACGTTACTCCCTCCCGTCGCTACCTCTTTCTCACCTGTGAGTCAAGCCCTGCAGGGCATTCTGCATCAATCCAACGGTGCTACTGAACAAATCACCCAGCTTGTCCATGTTCATTCCTTTGTGTCCATCCATCTGCCAAGTGGTTGGAAGAATAAAAAAAAAAAAAGACATAAATGAGATGATATAGTTTCCATTAGTTGAATGAGGGTTGGCGGGTTTTTCTCACATACCGCCCTTCATGAAAAAGTTGACTCGGCAAATACAAAGGGGCACCCGTAGATACACACGGTGGAGCGTGCCCCGTGCATGTTGTTACTCAGCAATGGAACCGTTTTAACGGGGGACTACTATATAGTACTGCACATCCGCTTTATACCTTTACTCAACGTGATAAATAAAGGGAAGGAAAAAATATGGGACGCTTCGTTTCGAATGAAATAAAATATGTGCGTATGTGTGTGCATTACTCATCGGATCACCACAATCAACTGTCCAGCAGCCCAATTAGACATATAACCAATTGTAAAAAAAAAAAAAAGGATAAACTCTGGGGATGTCTTCTGTGTGGCGTGGATCGGCCTTTTATCATTAAAAGGGGGACACTTCTCTTCGTTTGTTTAGTGTTTGTTTCGCGTTCCTCTCACATGTCGCTCCCCTTTTCCTTTACCGTTTTAACTTGCCAATTTTGCGATTTTTCAATTGCTCCAGTTTTTTCAGATTTTCCATCCCACGCGAAAAAATTAACAAACAAAAATAAATGACCAAAATGCTGCTCCCTTTGTAAATACGAAAGTTGAAAGTGGAGTCCAAAAAAAAAAAAAAAAAAAAAAAAAGAAAAAAAAAGAAAAACGGAAAATTTATTTCCCCCACGTTCGCAACATTTTTTATTTACAAACCCTGTGAAATTAAAATCGCCCCTCCGACATACGCGCGTATTATATATATTGCCCTTTCCGCTTTAGCCTGTGCGCAAAATTACGGGAGCATGTGCATTCCATTTCAACTGTTCATGTTGGTACTTTCTCGAAATTTTTCTCCTTTCATCAAATTTAATTTTTAAAATTGTACGAAATGCAAATTTTAAAATGGGACAAATACAAAAGTTCATGTAACCATTTTTTTTTTTCCGGAGGTTCACAGGTTGACAATTAACCCCATTCCTCCTTACTATATATTTATGTACACATATGCATGCGAATGTGCGTACGTACATATATGTATCTACCTGCCAATCCGTAGGGATGCGCCCTTGTGTTCATGCAATTTATGCGTATCCATCCCTTACGTGCTTGCCATAACGTGGCAACACACTGTGCTGACCGTTGCTCGACTTTGCAAAATTGGCCAACACAGCTCCTCACCGACTATGCTACACCTACCCACCCCCAAAACGCGTGCCAAGATAGGCACATAAATAGTGTCCCCTCCGTACCCAACACCTCGGCAAACGTGTGGAATGGCACAATAATTACATAGCGACAAATATATATTGCATAACTTCAACGTTGCAATAATGTGTGTGTGCGTACCGCCAATTTGCTGCCCCTCTTTTTAAGCAGCTCGAAAAATGGGTCAGCAGCCAACCTGGGGGATTCCAAGTACACTGCACTCCAAGTCGCCATATATACTAACGTAGCGTCACGTGGCTTGAAAAAAAAAAAAGTCTCGATGGGCCTCGTTAAAAAGGGATGCAACGTGTGCAGGCATATCCGATGCGGGGGAGGAGAAGCATTCAATTCTCGTTGCATACATCAGGGCGTACCACCCGAACGTACAACTGGCCTCACCGCTGATCTCTCCCCAAACGCGAGGGGACATCATTGCCGCGAAGAATGAACCTGCTAACCTTACTTTCAATCGCAACGTGCTTTACGATAGGAACCGCATTTCTGCACAAAAGGATCAACTACAAGCGGACAGGACATGCGCGAATAAGCCACAAACCAACGACCATACAATATGATCATGCCCTTTACAAAGCCAATACAAAAAAGGGAGTAAAAAAAATTTACTCTTTCAAAAGACACGTATCAGAGATATGGAATAACATTAAAACGAGGAGGATAGAAAATTATATGGAAGATTTTTTTCAAACAAAGCAAGTAAAAAATACGCTTCAAAATAACTTCCTTTGTTTTAAACACCTATTTAATAAGTGTAAGTTGGACAGAATAATTATAGCTGTTAATGTGGCGCTATATCTTTACCTGAACAGAATTGATAAGGATGATGAAAAAAGGATATTTTTTCACAAAGGGAATTTATTGGAGGTGAAAGAACAAAAGGCAGAAAAATACAAATGCAATTATCACGATGTTTATAAAACAAAAAATTTTAAAACATTTTTCACTTCCCTTTTTATACACAAAAATGTTTTGCATTTATATTTTAACATG